CGGAGGCTGTGACGGCATTGGGGCGGGCTGGCGGAACTGCCGCCGCTTTTGGCGGCGGCTCAACTTCACCTTCTGCCAACCACCAGGGGGCACAACAGCAGACGCTGGAACTGGGCCTGGCGGTGGATCGGGAACCGTATGAGGCGGTGGCGTTGTCTGCGTCACCAGCGCCGGTACCGGCGGCGGTGTTGGCTGCGGCGATGACTGCTGCGACCGCGGCAGGGAACCTGGCCGACGCCCCGATCGAGGGGGAGGTATCGGTGGCCGCTGTGAGCGCCGGAACATCTGCTGCTGCCGAGGGCGCAGACACGCAGGAGCGCGACCAGGCGGCGAGCGGAAGACGGGGTCACGGGACCGGCGCCCCTGGACGCGCCGCTCGCGGGAAGGGCGGGAGGAAGCTCCGTGCCCAGCCAGCGCCGAGGCGGCCCGGAGCAGGGCTGGGGCCTGGCGCCCCGGGACCCCTCCGGGGCTGGAGTGAGCAAGAGCAGTCGCCACTATCGCCAGAGCATCGACCTCCATCTGTGGGACAAGAAAGAGGGGAAGGCGACGAGGAAGCTGACGTCAGGCACGTGGCAGGACACAACACCCCGGAGGCAGCGACTACACAAGGCCCACAGCGGGAAACACGGAGTTCCACCCGCTCACAAGGAATTACATGGGGCCGTTCGAGGCTGGGACTGGCACACTCACCGTGGATCCCGGCGGGAAGAGCGCCACAGGCCGGACGAGGGGGGCGGAACGACGAGAGCCGGACCGGGGAAGGAGCGCCGATCCGTGGGGCCCGAGGCGGAGGACGCGGGGCAAGAGGGGGAAGAAGGGACGGGGGCGCAATCGTCGGCGGAAGGGAGGCGCTTGTGAGATCAGGAACGTGGAGGGAACGCCACGACCGCCCGGAGCAGGAGGCGCCACCGACGAATCAGGAGGAGAGGGACACTGGGAATGGGGAGGACGGGGGGGATTATGTAACCGAGACCCCCGAAACCTCCGAAGAGAGCTCGCTGGAGGAGGAGGGAGACACTACAGGAAGAGAGAGGGGACGGAGGGAGATTGGGAGAAACCCCCAGGACAAAAACCCCGGTGCGAGAAACCCCCAGGAGAGAAACCCCCACGAACGGGGAGAGATCGGAGCAGTGACGAGTGGGAGCCAGAGAGAAACCGGGCAACCCAACGTACAGTCACCGGCCGAGCTGGCGGCAAACGAGGCCATCTGGCAGCAGGCAGCCACGTGGGAAGTTACCCCACTTCAGCTTCTTGGTTCGGAGGATGCCCCCCAAAATTTTGGAAAGCTACACCCTCTGCGTGCTGGCACCACTCCTACGCCTGCAGAAATTTCCCGACTGCCCAGGTGCATGGGTGATCCTGCAATTCCTCCCGAGGCTGACCTTGCGGCCCCTTCCCGAACCAGTTCAAGGAAGTCGGTGGGTTGGGATTGAGGGAAGGCTGCACCGGTTCCAGCAAGGCAGCTGGGCGGAACTCTTCGAGGAGGCTAAGGTCATCCCCGATACGGAGAACCCGTCACGCCACCAAGCCGATGACGCTGGACTCTGTGCTAGGGCGGAAGGACTTATGAAGAAGGGTAACATCTCCAAGGCAGTTGCAGCGTTACGAGCAACCCCACTCGCCGAGGCCACACCAACGACACTCGCTGCACTGCAGGCGAAACACCCCGATGCTGCATCGCCCCCGGCAATGTTCGTTTCCGGCTACACTCATTCGGAGCTGCGGGTAACACCAGATGACCTTCGCGAAATACTCAAGCGATGCCCGAACGGAGTGGGAGCAGGCCCATCAGGTACCTGCTTTGAACACCTCAAAGACCCTGCGCTCGCGAGTGAGGAGGTGCTCATACTCCTCGCGCAAATTATCAGCTACCTCCTTAGCACCTTCCAGACCCAGGCGGTCCGCGATTTGCTACTGCCCTCGAGACTTATCGCTCTGGAAAAACCGGGAGGAGGCGTTAGGCCCATCGCGATAGGAGAAGCAATACTTCGCGTAGTGGCGAAGGCGGCTTTGAGGGAACTAGCACAGACCATTCGCGAATACTTCCTCCCCGTTCAGTTTGGGGTGGCAGTCACTGGCGGCGCAGAGTGCATCGTCCACTCAGTCCGATCACTGCTTAAGGAGGACGAGAGCCGAGTAGCGCTACAGCTCGATATTGAGAACGCCTTCAACAGTGTCGAACGGCCGGCATTCTTTCAGGCGCTCTCGCAATCGAGCTTGTTATCACTCCTACCCCTCGTACGCACGCTTTACGACGGCCCGTCTAGGCTCCTAGTGGACCACAAGCTTGGCGTCGATCAGATCATGAGCAACCGAGGAGTTCGCCAGGGTGATCCGCTCGGTCCGCTCCTCTTCGCAACGGCAATCCAACCGACACTTCTGAGCACGGCAACGCTCCTCCCCGAGGTGGCGATCGTCGCCTACGCCGACGACATCACCATTGTGGGCCCTCGGGACGCGGCCTATGAGGCTTTCGTCACCATCACAAGGGAGCTCCGATCGGTTGGCCTCCGCTGCAACATCGCCAAGTCCTCGGGGTGGGGACCGGATACGGAAGGGGGGAATGAGATCCCACCACCGCAGGGCCTGCCCATGAACACCAACGGCATCGGAGTTTTGGGAAGCCCGATCAGCACGGCCGATTTTTGCACGGACAAGGCACAGACAAGCCTCACAGAAGCGGCCGCACCGCTGCCCCTGATTGCTCAACTGCACCCACAGCACGCTATGCTAATACTCTCGAGGAGCATCTCCCGCAGGATATCGTACCTGCTGCGGACCACCCCGGCTACAGTGCTGGGGAGGGAGGAGTGGAGGTCGTGGAGCGAGACTCTGATGGCGACAGCCCTGGCAGCGGCAAAGCTACGGGTCCCAGCGAGTGAGCTGGAGCAGAGCCTGTTGTGGCGGCAAGGAACCCTCCCCGTCAGGCTGGGGGGCTAGGCATCATTGACCCTACCTCGGAGGCACCGGCAGCCTACATCTCGTCAGTAACGGCAGCCCACACCCTACTGCGGCAGATGAACCTGCCAGAGGCGTACCTGCTGAAGAGGGCGGTCACACGGCTCGACCATGCGTGGAGCCCTGCCCCACCTGAAGTTAACCAGCTAGCCCCACTGGAGGCAGCCCTGTCGGCATCAGCACGAACCGCACTACAGGCGTTCAGGGAGCAGCCGGCAGGACAGGGTAACCTTCAGCTACTACTCTCCCGCCACATCTACGAGAGACGAGCAGCGGAACTGCTGGCTGACACGATCACAGACCGCCCAGGCACACACCGCGGGCACGCCATCTGCCTCATCAGCCTACAGGGGGTGGGGGCAGGGGACTGGCTACACGCCGTGCCTTCGAGAGCTGACCTTACATTTGCCCCTGGTCAGTTCTCCTTGGCGCTGGGGTTCCGCATGGGCATGTCCCTGCCGGTCACTGAGAAGTGTCCCTGCAAGAGAGAGTATTCAGACATCAACGACACGAGTCTGCCAAACCATCTCCTTAGGTGCGGGTACGGGGGCGACGTCGTTAGAACGCACAGAACGTGCTAGTGTTTGCAGCCCTCAGGATGGCAAGGGAAGCGGACTTCACGTGCTTCCACGAGACATCAGCTTTTTCCCCACCGATCCTCAGGAAGAGGGGAGACCTGGCGATTCGAGACAGGGAGTCAAACGAGACCTGGGTTACAGACGTGACAGTGACTGACCCTGTGCTCCAGCAGCGCAACACCAGGGCACGGAAACCACCGGGATGGGCGGCTGAGGAGGCCTCGGCTAGGAAGCACCAGGAATATGAGGATCGGCCAGACTACGTCGGCTTCTTTGGCCTCGCAGTTGAGACGTATGGGGCTCTGTCCTCAGACACACAGGAGTTCCTACGGCTACTGGCCACCTCAGCAGCCAAGAAGAAGTACCGCCAGGGGAAGTTGACAACGACGACTGCACGGCTCACTGCACACTACCGGCAGCGCTGGTCTGTGATGCTGCAGCGCTCCCAGGCAACATCCTATCTGAACAAGTCAAACCTCTCTGATGAGGCAGCGTTCCCCCAGGCTGCTAGGGACCCTTGGGAACCTAGCCTGGGGGACCTCTGGCAAGTGCTGGAGGATGAGCTGGAGGTTGTGATGGCTCAGTAGGTAGGAGTAGGGGTAGGCCAGTGATGTAGCCATGGCTCGGTTGCTGCATGATTGGCCTGAATGGCCTGCCTGCCTGCACTGCTGGCCGTGCTTGGCCTTGCCTTGCAGTGCCCTGTCCTGCTGGTTTGCCTTGCCTGGTCTGCTTGCCCTGCCTCACCTGACCGGCTTGTCTGTGTGCAGATGTCCTGCTCGCTTCACGTTCCTGCCTTGCATGATTAGTAGCTCCAATGCCTAGGCCTGTCTAGCTCTATTCCTACCATGTCTGTACCCCTATGAACCTATCAATGAAGGACTGCTTGAGATTATATATCGGTAGAGACAGGAGGGGGTGGTGGTGCTGGTGGTAGGGCAGAGCTGATGGGATGTTGTGGCAACCAAATTGCAGCTGCGAGGGCAAACACTGACTGCTAAATCGATTTAAAGGGGTTGTGTGGCAGCTTGCACTCAAGAAGCAAGCAACCTTTCGTGTCGAAAACAGGATTGGCCGGACTCATACATGGCAGACCTGCTTTTACACACTGCCCCGTCTTGTCTCATACTGCCTGGGGTTTACCCGTACTGCCCGGACTTACTCTTATTGCCTGCCAGAAACAAGGTTCTAGAGGCTGTAGCGCTCTCCATAATCTGCTGGAAGAGCCGTGGGGTTGTGGGGAGGAGGGAGGAAGATATGCAATGAGCACTGGAGAGCGAGGTAGGGTAGGGAAAGCTCCACAGTGTAGCACCCTGCCATGATGCACTAGCATAGCTGACGGGGTGTGTGTGGTTAGGGTGGAGGCACAGAACTCACCACCATCATAGCGGAGGGGTGAGCCAGAGAGATCAGGAGAGGGAAGAGTGGGAAGGGGAAGAACGGGAGAAATAGTCAGTTCATTAACACCTACAACGGTCGCGAGACCGAGAGCCAGGGGGAGGGCGTGGTGGGGCGACTGGTGAGATTGCCACCAGAGAGGGTGGCAGTGGTGGTGATGCAGTCGAGGAGGGAGAGCAACATGAGAGGCCAGCGAGAGAGGCTGGTGAGCGTGGTGACGGAGAGATGGCAAGAAATGGACGCTACTGCGTGGCTGCACTATGCACACATGATGACCTGATGGGTGAATGGAGGGTTTGGAAAGGAGGGGACAGTGGGAAAGAAGGAGGGAGAGTAGCATAAGAGGAGGGGTCGAAGCATTAACACAGCCGTAGGGCAGTCATCCAGGCGTTTACCAGACCTACAGCTCACCCGCCAACCACTGACCTTCCACTGACCTGCCACTGACCCATAAGCAGCCCACATCCCCACAGTACGCACCTCCTTTCGCCACTGTTCGTCCTTCACGAAGACATACCGGCACCCAACAGCCTCGCTACCAGTGACCTACTGGTGACGCCCTCACAGCCCAATTTCGTCTCACCACGCACCTTCCTCTCACTCTCTCAAAACGCACCTCAAACATTGCCACAGCGCACCCAGCTGCCTCGCCCAGCCTCTTGTGCACCCCTGCCATGTCAGCAGCCCCTACAGGTTTGCTGAAACGGTAAACAGTGCGCTCGAGCCATATGGGTGGGAGTTGGTGGGGCAGAAGTAGGTGTGGGAGAAGCAGGTGCCAAGTTGAGGGGGGAAGGGGAAAGAGGGGGCGGGGGGTGGGGGAGGGGGTGGAAGGGAAGAGGGGGGAAAGGTTAAAAGCACAGTTGCTGAGGAGAGGGACGTACGAAAGAGACAGTGTCGTAGGGGGGCAAAATCGGTCGGTGGGCCAGAAGTCGGTGTAGGAGAAGCAGGTGCGGAGCTGGAGGAAGGGGGGGTGGAGGGGGAGGAGAAGAAAGGGGAGAGGGGGGAAAGTGGAGAGGGGGGAAAGGGGAGAGGGAGGAAAGGGGAGAGGGAGAAAAGGGAGAGGGAGAAAAGGGAAGAGGGAGAAAAGGGGAGAGGGGGAAAGGGAAGAGGAGGGAAAGGGGAGAGGTAGAAGAGGGGAGAGGGGGAAACGAATAAACAGCAGAGTGGGTGATAAGAGGGATTTGTGGTACAGTGTCGTAGGGGCCAGAAGTCCCGCCCCTATGACACTGTCGGAGGGATGTGACGAGACGAAGTCGGTGTAGTAGAAAACGGTGCAGAGCTGGTGGAGGGGGCTGGTGGAGGGGGCTGGTGGAGGGGAACGGGGAGAGGGTAATGGATGGTGAAGGGAAGACGTGTTGCAATTTTGGCAAGGAGGCCACTCAGCAGCCCACAGGTTCCCCATGAACAGTGTGCCTGCGTTGCAGGGACGAGAATGAATGAGCCAGGAATCGGTGCAGGAGAAGGGATACACGAAAGCGAGGCTGGATGGACGGGATAGGGGAGGATGATGCGAATGGGGGCTGGGCTTGAGGGGCTGAGATGAGAGTGACTTGAGGAAAGGGTAAACAGAAGAGTGGCTTATGACAGGGATGTGGGAGACAGTGCTATAGGGGTGAGAGACAGTGCTACAGGGGTGGGAGACAGTGCTATAGGGGTGGGAGACAGTGCTATAGGAATTCAGTGGGCCAGAAGTCTGTGCGAGGCAGGAGGAGCGGGAAATCAGTGGGCCAGAAGTCTGTGCGAGGCAGGAGGAGCGGGAATTTAGTGGGCCAGAAGTCTGTGCAGGAAGCAGATGATGAGCCGTGGGCGGCCGAGCCCGTGCAGTGCAATGGGGCAGACGTGGGTGTAGGAGAAGCAGGTGCGATGCAGATCTGGGGGGGGGGGGGGGGGTAGGAGCGGGAAAGAAGGAAAAGGGGCAGTGGCTTATGAGAGGGACGTGGAAGACAGTGCCGTAGGGCGCCGCCCTGTAGATTGTATAGGAGAAGCAGGTGCGAAGCTGAGGGAAAAGGGTGAGGATCAAGACTACCTGAGAGACAGGGCGGAAAGGAAGAGGGGGGAGGGGCGGGGGGGGAGGAAGGCGAGGGGAGAGTTTGGAACAGGGAGGGCGGGCATGAGGAATCAGGGGAGAACATCCTTGAGCCTTGACCGCTTGCCCCATTTCCTTCAGCCTTGCCAGCACACACCGCCTCATCGCTCCATGCTCCAGTGTGTGGGTGTGGGTGTGGGGGGTTCAGAGGGGAGGGGGAAAAGCAGGTGAAAAGTTCTTAGCCCCCCACCTCCTTCAGCCCTGCAAGCACCCGCGCTGCATTGCTTCCTGTTAAAATAGAGAGACGTGAGGGCTTTAAACAGGGGGACAAATGAAGAGGGGCTGTGGAGGGGAAGGAGGGACGCTGCTGTGAGGGGTAAAGAAATGGGGGCGAAGGGAGCAACGATGCTGCATTGCTCCCTGCTCTCATGCGGACATTGCAATGGAGATGGGGATGTGAATGGGAATGGGGATGGGGATGGGGATTGAGATGGAGATGGGGATGGGGATGGGGATTGAGATGGAGATGGGGATGGGGATGGGGATTGAGATGGGGATGGAGATGGGGATGGGGATGGGGATGGGTTTTCTCCATAGTTGAGAGTTGCGAAAATAACTGCTCGGGTGCGGCAGTGGTGATCGTGGCTGTCGCCTCATTTATCGCAGCCGGGTTGATTTGTCCTTCAGCCGTCAGATTTTCTTGGCCTCCGGATCCTCCGGCCATCTTGGTCTTGGAGCGTGTGCCGCTCGCCAGATCTTGATTCGGCGAATATCACGAAAGTGAAGTTGCGAAGAATCCCTCAGTTGCTCTCATACCATGTTACAATCCCAAGTGGGACTTAGCGAAGGATCGCTCAGGGTTGATCGCGGGGTAGTGTTGCAGCGGAAGTGTTGACCTCATGTCTTAGTGAATGTAAATGACTGAGGTTGATAATAGCATGCATACATCGGGTTTATATAGGAAATACAAAGGAATACGAAACGACCTAGACTAGCCATGTACTCCAGGAGGTACACTCCCTTATTACAGCGAAGTTCAAACCGTGCGGCGCGGAAACCCGTTTCAAACTTGTTCCCGCTCTTTTCACTTCAAATGTTTCTGCCTGCATCGGTCTTGATCAGACGGTTACCAGCGTCGCTTCAACTGTGCTGACTCCTCGACTTCGTACTCGGTAGAGTCGGCTCCTTCAGCATACTGGAATGCCTTCTCATAAAGTTTCATATTGTAACATGAGAGCACTCACCCGCTACACAAACAAGCCCTATTATCCCAGTGGTTAGTGGTTGGGATTCTGACAAATACTATGTCAGAAAGCAAGAATAACTACTCAGGGGCAAACAGTGTTGTACAATTTGTACCTTTTACAAAGTAACCCAACATAGCCTAACATGTGCACATACAACTATGGAATGTATGAATTGACAATATGTGAAATTTTATATACCTTATAAATATTACAGCAATAGAAATCACATGTGTTACATAAAATAGGAAAAAATGTGTTTATTTAAAACAAGCTCCAGTAAAAAGAGTAAAAAAAAGGCTCGACGATGAACGTCGTAAGGGTTGCGTAGACGCTGATATCATACTCAAGATAAATGCAACACCGTTATATATATCCGTACCCTTCTTCCACCCTCTACAGCCGTTTTTGTTTTTTATGTATTGCATTCTATCTCACACCTAATGCCCAATTATGTGGAATTTCGACTGAAGAATATAAGCACGTACTATGTGGTTACTTTGGGTGTATATGAGTGATTTACGACTCTACTATTATGGGGTATTATGGGGAACGTGCATTTCGCTTTTCGCTTTTGTCAAGTTTTCTGGAGCTGACGCAAACTGCACATGAAATCTAGTGTATCAGCTGAGTCAGCTGAATCTCACGTGCTCACATATGTGAAACCACCTCGATAACCCAACCCAACCCAAGAACCAAGAAACCAGTTCTTTCCACTCACGCTAGTATCACGCTAGTACCTCATGCTACCGCTAGTACCTCACGGAGTACCCCACACTAGTGCCTCACGCTGGTATGAACCTCAGCTCCTTATCCTGTAGCAAGCGCCCGTGACCATGAAACCGCTCGTGGAAAACGCGCCTGACAAGCGCCCGTGACAAACGGCATGTTTCGTGAGTACAAGAGTGATATTCGCCTTGCTGCAGCGCGCTGCCAGCCCCTTGCTGCGGCAGCGCGCCGACGCCTAGCAGCGCGCTGGCGCCAAACGCGCTGGTGCCAAACGCGCTGGCGCCAAACGCGCTGGCGCCAAACGCGCTGGCGCCTAACGCGCTGGCGCCTAACGCGCTGGCGCCTTACGCGCTGGCGCCTTACGCGATGGCGCCTTACGCGCTGACGCCAAACGCACTGGCGCCAAACGCGCTGGCGCCATACGCGCTGGCGCCATACGCGCTGGCCCCAAACGCGCTGGCGCCATACGCGCTGGCGCCATACGCGCTGGCGCCTTACGCGATGGCGCCTTACGCGCTGGCGCCAAACGCGCTGGCGCCAAACGCGCTACCGCCAAACGCGCTGGCGCCAAACGCGCTGGCGCCATACGCGCTGGCGGCTTGTGCGCTTCTGCCTTGTTGCGGCAGAGCGCTGCCTAATTATTGCGCACGCTCAAGCGTTGCTGCAGTGAGCGCACGCCTTGCTGCAGTGAGCTCTCGCCTTGCTGCAGTGAGCGCACGCGTTGCTGCAGTGAGCTCTCGCCTTGCTGCAGTGAGCTCACGCCTTGCTGCAGTGAGCTCACGCCTTGCTGCAGTGAGCTCACGCGTTGCTGCAGTGAGCTCACGCGTTGCTGCAGTGAGCTCACGCGTTGCTGCAGTGAGCTCACGCCTTGCTGCAGTGAGCTCACGCGTTGCTGCAGTGAGCTCACGCCTTGCTGCAGTGAGCTCACGCCTTGCTGCAGTGAGCTCACGCGTTGCTGCAGTGAGCTCACGCGTTGCTGCAGTGAGCTCACGCCTTGCTGCAGTTTGCTCACGCCTTGCTGCAGGGAGCTCATGCCTTGCTGCAGGGAGCTCACGCCTTGCTGCAGTGAGCTCACGCCTTGCTGCAGTGAGCTCACGCCTTGCTGCAGTGAGCTCATGCCTTGCTGCACTGAGCTCACGCCTTGCTGCAGTGAGCTCACGCCTTGCTGCAGTGAGCTCATGCCTTGCTGCAGTGAGCTCATGCCTTGGTACGGCAGCCCGCTTGCTCCTCTTCCAGTGCCTTGCTGCAACTCTCTGGCACCTTGTAGCATGGCGATGCCCATTTCGTTGCACCAAGGCACCTTGCTCGCTGGAGCCTTGCTGCACACCAGCGTGGTGTGCGTGACCCCAGGGGATCTATGCTTCAAACCACGCTTGTGAGTCGTCGAATTCGGTTATCTTTTGTACTTATCATATTTCTTTCAAGTTCCATTTCACAATCAAGTGCGTGCTCGTCATTGAATAGTTCACTCCGTTTTCCGACTACAATTCATTTTCTGCTTGACCTGTTTGTTTTGCAAGGTGTGCGAGACGCGTTGTGGGGAGCAGGGAGGGATCGAGAGAGAAGACAATGTGGAAAAGGGTGGGAGGAGATTTTGATGCTAGAGGGAGAGGAAGGAAGGCAGAAAGGGGGAGTAAGGGGGGGGGGACAAGGTAGCAGTGATTGATACATAATTAACTTATTGCAACTCTTTGTTATGCTTGTCTGCTCCCAATCCTATTTGTGTATGTATGTGTGCGGTGCGGGTGTGTTTGTGCGTGTGTGTGTTTATGTGTTGTCATTGTGTTTGTTTCACTGTGGGGTTTTACGTGCGTTTGCATTCGTGTTTGTGGGGTGTGTGTTTCAAAGTGTGGTGTTAGTATGTGTTATGTATGCAATTAGAGGTTGTTAAAACCGAAATGCAAAATAGTGAACCCCAAACCCAACTTGAAAGAGCGCAGGGACGAGTTTGCCGGGCGAAACAAATTATGGACCGGACTGACAAGTTGGTACCGTTTCAAACGCTGCAGACGTGCAAATCCAACACCTTTGATTGGTTTCCGCCAAAAGAAAAACATTCTGGGGATGTGTGGCGTCGCATTTCTCATTTCTCATTTCGCACGACAATTGCATAGGCGATCGTTTCAGTCTATCCAAGCGATTTGGGCCCAGCTCATGTTTCAAGTTGGGATGGGGTGAACTACTACCATTTTTGCGTCGCTAGTTATACGGTAAGTAGCTAGGTTGGGCATAGGCTATGTCTGGACTGTTGCCCTCGTTATCTCAACATGTATTAATCAGAATGTCCGTCCCGTCGCTCACGTGATCTCCTCTTGCCTCCCTTACCCACGCGATCACTTCTCCTTCCCCATAGCCCTCCTGTTCGGCCGTCCAGTCACCCGCCCATTCTGCCGTCCCGTCGTCCTCCCGTTCCGTTCCGTCGTCGTCGCCCTTCCGTGGCCCATACCGTCGCCCCTCCCGTTCATCCATCCCGTCGCCCATCCTGTAGCGCATCCTCTCTCCCATCCCGTCGTTCCCCTCGTCGCCCTCGCCAACGCCCCGAAACTCCCTCCCGTCGCCCTTCCTCTCTCCCATCCCGTCGCTCCCCTCGTCGCCCTCGCCAATGCCCCGAAACTCCCTCCCGTAGCGCATCCTCTCTCCCATCCCATCGCTCCCCTCGTCGCCCTCGCCAACGCCCCGAAACTCCCTCCCGTCGCGCATCCTCTCTCCCATCCCGTCGCTCCCCTCGTCGCCCTCGCCAACGCCCCGAAATTCCCTCCCGTCGCCCTTCCTCTCTCTCATCCCGTCGCTCCCCACGTCGCCCTCGCCAACGCCCCGAAACTCCCTCCCGTCGCGCATCCTCTCTCCCATCCCGTCGCTCCCCTCGTCGCCCTCGCCAACGCCCCGAAACTCCCTCCCGTCGCCCTTCCTCTCTCTCATACCGTCGCTCCCCTCGTCGCCCTCGCCAACGCCCCGAAACTCCCTCCCGTCGCCCTTCCTCTCTCCCATCCCGTCGCTCCCCTCGTCGCCCTCGCCAACGCCCCGAAACTCCCTCCCGTCGCTCCCCTCGTCGCCCTCGCCAACGCCCCGAAACTCCCTCCCCTCGCCCTTCCTCTCTCTCCGTCACCCTTGCTCTCTCTCCGTCGCCCTTGCTCTCTCTCCGTCGCCCTTGCTCTCTCTCCGTCGCCCTTGCTCTCTCTCCGTCGCCCTTGCTCTCTCTCCGTCGCCCTTTCTCTCTCCCGTCGCCCGTTCTCTCTCCCGTTGCCCTTTCTCTCTCCCGTTGCCCGTTCTCTCTCCCGTTGCCCTTTCTCTCTCCCGTTGCCCGTTCTCTCTCCCGTTGCCCTTGCTCTCTCCCGTTTCCTATCCTCTCTCCCCTCCTCTCACGTTGCCCTCGATGCAGTCGTCACCTTTCCTCTCTCCCCTCCCATCACCCACCTCGGCGCTTTCGCGTTCGCCCCGAAATGCCTGCAAGTCGCCCTTCGTTTCTCCCCTCCCATCTCCCAACACCCTACCATTCCGCAATTTTCGCTCAATCAGCGCTCTCCGTGCGCTCTCGTTTCCTTCTACCTATTCCTTTTTATCTCTAACCCGAAACTCTCTGTTTTTTCCCGCAGTTCTGCTTTTCCTATGCTGTTTTTGCCGCCCCAGCAGGCACATGTCTAAGGCGTTTGTTGTGTGTGAATTGAACATGCAACACTTGTTGAAATTGGCCCCATCGTGTGATTGGGATTTGCACGTCGCCAACTTGCGACACATGCTTGCGACGTTTTTTGTAAAAAATTGTGAAGACTTGAACGCGTCTGAAAAACAAAACAGAACAACACTTCGACCGTCAGAACCTTTACAAAGTTAGTTTGAGTTTTCAAGTGGACCCACTAGAAGGGGGGGGGGGTCACTATTTTAGCTGCTGGCTTTAATCGTCTTTGGGGCAGCGTGTTTTCGCTGTTTCAACGACCCCATCAACCTCTGTTGCTGCATGATGCATTTTAACATTCATTTTGAAGCATTCACTCCACCTCATACGGTACCTTGTTGTTCATTTGTACAATTGCATTCGTTCATGTCGATGCCAGAATATTATGCTCGGCCGTACAATCCGCCGTATTTATCGACGAGGTTGTGACGGTCGAGCAATTTCATGGTTTCAACATGATACGTACGTGCTTGCATGTTCTGGGGATCTCATTCAAGAGTGTTTTTTATCCACTCTTTGAGGCATCCGTTTGGACACAGTTTCAAAACATTCAAACGAGTGCTCCAAAAAGTGCGTAAATAACACTCTTCGAATGATATCCCCAAAATGTGAAACCAAATATAAAGGGTTGCTACGCAACCCAAAAAACACCCTGAATTATATTTGAAACATCCTATACATACCATCTGGTTGTTTTTACTACTGCTGTTATCGACTCCTTTGATTGTTGCTATGTCGCATATTTTCCGCCGAAATTGCTGCCCTCCCCTCCAAACCAAACCGAACTCGTCAAATTCGTCGTGAGGTTGGGGGTACATTATTCAGCGCGTGCTGCTGGTTGCAGAGGAGCGCTGTGCTTCTTGACAAAACCTTCTCCAGGCTCGGGACCTTGTTGGAACCTGCGCTGCTTTGGTGCTTTCCCGCCAAGCCGTGAAGATTTCTGTTCGGAGTTCATTCGGGCATGCTTTGGCTGTGTTGCAGTGCAACCCACACGACCCACATCCGAGGCTCGCGTCATCCTGAAGTCGCATTCTCACCCATCATCCTGCCTACCCTCGCCCCGCTCCCCGCCAAATTCGCGTTAGCATCTTATCCTCCAATTTTAGTCCGAGTCCTGGCCGTGTTTCTCGCAGCCATGCGCATCCACGCCCTCGCCTCCCAGTATCACGCCCCTGCTTCCCATCCCCTCGTTCAACCCAGTCTACAATTAGAGCCCTTCGATACTTACACCCGTCAACTCCTCGCGACCACCTCGTCTTCTCGTTTGTTCACTGCACGCTCCGTCGTTTCATCCCCTACCGGTGACTAGAATTTGTTTGAAGCTGATTTTGAGAATTCTCATCGACCCCGTGACTCATTCTCCTTGCGTGCATGGCGCCATCTCTCTCCAGCACTCCCCCGCGTGCCGGCGCAAGTTCGAGCGCGAGGCGGCGCGCGATAGTGTTTTACGACGTCGAGACGACTGTGCCGGCCGCGCGAGGCGAGAAGCACGCGATGCTCGAATTTGCCGCAGTCGAACTCGAAATCGAGGGTTTCTACGAAACTTCGAGCTACTCCACGTACCTGCGGCCGCCGGAGGGAGTCCGTATTTCGCGACGGACGGTGGAGATCAACGGGATCACGAGCGACACGGTGCGCAACGCGCCGAGCTTTGGCGAAGTGGCGGATAGGATTTACGAGCTCATGGACGGTACGCTTCGATGACGTCACCTCTTACATCGCTTTTCTACCCTGGCTTGCTCGCAGTCACTTTCATCGCGATCACTCATTCCCGCTCCCCTCCCCACCGACTCTTGCTGTTTTTCTACGGCGTGAGCCACATGATTAGGCATCTCAAGGTCGCGTCGCCTCGCGTCATCCCTTATTTAATCAGATTGGGATCCCCTTACCGTCGTGCTCCATGTCTCTCCTCTCCGTGCTCGTTTGGGCACCAGGCAAGGTGTGGGCGGGGCACAACATCAGCCGCTTCGACAACGCGCGCATCCGAGAGGCCTTCAGCAGCCTGGGCCGCGCGCCGCCTGTGCCGGCTGGCGTGGTGGACACGTACGACCTGCTGAGGCGGGAGTTCGGCACGCGAGCTGGCAACATGAAGGTGTGCTGTGTGATGTGCGAATGAGAAGCGCCAACATGTTACATGACTGGGAGGCGATGGAATCATGAATAAGAGCGAGGGTGGGGTGGCAAGGGCAGTGGATGGAGGCCATGCTAGCATATCTCCAGGCTGTTCCTTCCAGCTGGGGTGGTGGCCTCGTAGACCTGCTGAGCAGGGAGTTGGGCATGTGGGCTGGCGACATGGAGGTGGCATGGAGGTGACGGGTGCTGCTGTGTTGTGGGTCGTGTGGTGTGGTACTCAAGCAGGCAGCAAGGTGGTATGGGCAGGGCAGTAGATGGTGGCGAGGCGAGGCGAGGCGAGGCGAGGCGAGGTGAGGCGAGGCGAGGCGAGTCGAGGTGAGTCGAGGTGAGGCTAGGCGAGGCTAGGCGAGGCTAGGGCAAATGTGTGGTGCTTGGCGAGGAGGGAGTTGGGCGCCAGGCGGGGTAGCATGAATGTGAGGACTGGCAGGGCAATGGGCGAATGTCGTGTGGGCGAATGTGAGGACAGGCGAGGGTCGCCCCTGCCTGCGTGTGAGGAGTGTGCGTGGTGACAAGGGAGGTGGGTACAAGGGCGGGTGATTCCAAGGTAAGGATCTCACACACGCACAAGCAGGCGGCGAGGGTAAGGGTTGGTAAGGAGCAGCTTGTGATTGGTGGAGTGGTGGCCACGTGTGCCCTGTTACCGGGAGATGAGGGACGGGGAGGGATACAGGTGGCAAGGGAGGCGTCAGGGCTGGTCATTGCAATCGCACTGCTTCTTTCTCGTCAAGGTCCTCCGGCCTTCCTTTCACCATCTTCCTCCGATCATGTTGTCCTCATCAATCTTCTTAATGCACTCCTCCTCCTCCATGCCATCTGTTCGTTCCCTCCCCTTCATCCCAAAAGATGGCATCGCTGGGAGCCTACTGCGGCCTGGGCATGCAAGTGCATAGGTGGGCCCTGAGTCAAGCTGAGTCATTCGTGAGATGGGTTGAGTCAGGCTGAGTCAGCCGTGAGATGGGTTTAGTCAAGCTGAGTCAGCCGTGAGATGGGTTGAGTCAAGCTGAGTCAGCCGTGAGATGGGTTGAGTCAAGCTGAGTCAGCCTTGAGATGGGTTGAGTCAAGCTGAGTCAGCCGTGAGATGGGTTGAGTCAAGCTGAGTCAGCCTTGAGATGGGTTGAGTCAAGCTGAGTCAGCCTTGAGATGGGTTGAGTCAAGAGTCAGCCTTGAGATGGGTTGAGTCAAGCTGAGTCAGCCTTGAGATGGGTTGAGTCAAGCTGAGTCAGCCTTGAGATGGGTTGAGTCAAGCTGAGTCAGCCTTGAGATGGGTTGAGTCAAGCTGAGTCAGCCTTGAGATGGGTTGAGTCAAGCTGAGTCATTCGTGAGATGGGTTGAGTCAGGCTGAGTCAGCCGTGAGATGGGTTGAGTCAAGCTGAGTCAGCCTTGAGATGGGTTGAGTCAAGCTGAGTCAGCCTTGAGATGGGTTGAGTCAAGCTGAGTCAGCCTTGAGATGGGTTGAGTCAAGCTGAGTCAGCCTTGAGATGGGTTGAGTCAAGCTGAGTCAGCCTTGAGATGGGTTGATTCAAGCTGAGTCAGCCTTGAGATGGGTTGAGTCAAGCTGAGTCAGCCTTGAGATGGGTTGAGTCAAGCTGAGTCAGCCTTGAGATGGGTTGAGTCAAGCTGAGTCAGCCTTGAGATGGGTTGAGTCAAGCTGAGTCAGCCTTGAGATGGGTTGAGTCAAGCTGAGTCAGCCTTGAGATGGGTTGAGTCAAGCTGAGTCAGCCTTGAGATGGGTTGAGTCAAGCTGAGTCAGCCGTGGGATGTCAAGCACGGAGGTGGTATTCACTTTTCGAGTCGGGAGTTGTGAGTCATGAGCCGTGAGTGGGGAGTGAGCTCAAGACCTGAGGGAGAGGCTCAAGTTGTGCGAGTTGACCTGAAGGTGCTGCTGCTCCTGTCAGTTTGCGTATAGCCCTATTCGTGGATCTTGCTGTTGACTACGTTGACTTCGCTTATTGCGTTGACTGTTTGACCCTGTTGCATGTTGACTGCATTGACTCTGCTGGCTGTGTTGACGTGATGTCTATATCGACTGCATGGCATGGCAGGGCGATGGAGGACGTGCGGATGAACATTGACGTCTTCAAGCAGTGCTCCGCCATGCTCATGCTGGTGAGCTGCCCTTGCCGTGCCATGGCCCATGCTCGCATGCACACTTGGTGCCCTTCTAATGGTCTTACAGAGTACAATTATGTAATGTTTTTAACACAACCGTGGTCCTATGGTCTAGTGGTTATGACGTCAGACTCTGAATCTGAAAGGCCGAGTTCAATTCTCGGTAGGACCTCTTTTGTGGGGCCTACCAGAGTCTTTGAACGTCACTCGGAAATGGTAGATGGTTGACGTGTAAGCAAAATTCGAAGGGCTATTTTGGTGGAAAATCTTGGAGGATGTTGTGGAAATTACGTGGGTTTAAGTATTTCTGGCATACTCTTTCCCTGCGTCACATTTACTTTCTCCTTCCCAATTTCTCCCCTTCCATCCACCTCTCCCCTTTCATACACTCTCTGCATGCAGGAAATGTGTCACCCTGCCCTCTTCCAGGCACCCTCCACCCCGCCTCGCAGCAAGACACCCCCACGGCCCACCGCCACCGCTGCCGCAGCGGCAGCTGTGAAGGCAGCTGCTGCTTCAGCAGCCGACGCAGTGGCAGCAGCAACTCCGGCAACACCAGCAACACAGAAACCAACAGCGGCGAGAGCAGCAGCAAAGAACGCATCACCAGCAGTCCCATCCCCAGCAGCAACAGCAAAAGCAGCGGCAGGATCAGCAGGTGTATCCTCACTTGGTCCTCCTTTTCCTGCTGTTAGCACTGCCGCTTCATCAGCTGTAGTGGTATCTGCCACGTCAGCTTTGTTAAGTCAGGCGCTTGAGTCCTTGAAGATTGACTCCACTGCCACGTGTCAGAACCTGGCTGCTGGTGCCAGCCATGCCAAGATGAGGGAGGGAGATGCGGAGGGGGAACTTGAGGATGGGGAGGTGGTGGGGGAGGAGGACGAGGACGAGGAGGAAGAAGAGGAGAAAGAGGAGGTAGAGGAGGAGGAATTGGTGGAGGAGGAAGAGGAAGGAGAGGATTGTGATTATGAGGAAGCAGGATCGTATGAAAAAGAGAACCACACAGAGAGCATGCCTTGGGGCAACTACACAGCGAGACACGAGGGGGCAGAGAGGACAGCAAGACACGAGGGGAGAGAGGACAGCGAGACAAGAGGGGAGGTGGGAGGGGAGGAGAAGCTGGAAACTACCGGGGCAGCTGTGGGCGAGTGCGTGGTGTGTCCGGGGTGGTGGCAGCAGCAGCACGAGCAGCATCTCAAGGAGGGCGCCCCTTGGCCCATCGCGTGCGCTCACTTCGACCCCTTCTGGTTGCAGGCCCTGTGCGCGCCTGCGGCTGCTGGCGGCAGTGGGAACGGCAGCAGCAGAGGCAACGGGGACAGCGGGTGGGGGGGAGGCAGGCGGTACAGCTTGAGGGGAGGAAGTGCTCGGGTGTACCCGGATGGCCTCACGCCACAGTCGACATCTGATGCTGCTGCTGGTGGTACTGCTGCTGGTTATGGTGGTGGTGCGGTGGAGTGTGCACCGGCGCGTGTGCTGTTGCTGTACAACGGGCGGTCGCTGCATGTGAGGGAGTGCGGTGCGCGGATCAAGATGAGGTGAGCGCGGCTCAAGTGTGATGAAGGCTTGGGTGTCTCAGTATGTGCTGAAAATTGGAGAGGATGATTGAACCCAAATGTAGTCGCTTTCGGCTGTGCGTTGCCTGGATTTGAAGTCTGAGGTAAGGTAAGGCAGCTGTAAGAAGGTTGTTGAAATCACCGAGATTGGAGGGGCGAGAATGGGAGGTACCTGATGTGAATGGAAATTCATAGAAGAGGATGGATGAATTGCCTCGTTCACTCTCCCTCTGCTTTGTCTTCCTGCCTTCTCGTATTCCTATCTCCCTTCGCCTCTTCTGACTTTCACCTCAGTCCGCTTTCTGTTTCCCTTCTTCCCTGTACTCCTTTCTGGGCCTCCAGTTAGTTTGTATTGCTCGCGTCAACTCCAGTCTTCTCAATATGTCTCGTCCTTCCCTCCTACACTCCCTCATGCACGAATCCTTTCCGCTCTCCCTCCTCTCCTCTCTCCGACCCTTCTTCCCACTGCTCCTCGCCTCCTGCCCATCTCCCACCTCTTCTCCCCTCTTCCTTCCGTCCTCCCGTCCTCGCCCCCACCAGTGTGTCGGACCGCTTTGTCTGGCCAGCCGTCCTTCTTGCTGCTCCTCTTGCCGATCCTTCTGGCGTTCTCCCTCCTCCCCATCTTCCCCTCTCTCCCCCTCTCCCGTCCACCAGTGTGTCGGGCCGCTTTGCCTTCGACGAGGCAACGGGCCGCCCGTCCTTCTCGCTGCTCCTCGCCATCTCGCCCGCCGCTGCTGCCGCCATCACTGCGTGCTTCGACGCTCTGCTGGCGTGCGTGGGGAGTGGCAGGAGTGGCAGTGGTGAAGTGGATGCAGGGGTGGAGGGCGCAAGGGAGGAGGAGAGGGGTGGTGGGTGTGGGGAGGAGGTGCGATTGCCCTTTGTGGCAGCGTGGGAGGAGGATGACGGCGCGAGAGTGATCCGCGTCAAGTGAGTCGAGTGTTGGCCGCCTGCGGGCTGATGTTCCTTACAAACTGGAAGAGGGGAGGAAAAAGGGGTCGGGTTTTGAGGGGTGGGATGTGGTGGTATGTGGTGTGGGTTTGTTTGGCGTTTGACAGCTTCTGCTTGCAGCTCTGGTCCCGTCGTTCACACCATTGCTCACACCATTGCTCACACTCCTTGCTCGAATTCCTTTCGTCCATCCCCTTATCTTCCCACTCTTCCCTCCCTTGTCCGCCCCCATCCTGCACTGCTGCTTGCCAGGCTGGCAGCTGACGGTGTGAGGGGGAATGCTGAGTGGCGCACCAAGTTCTTCTCCTGCGCTGCACCGCACACAACCGCTCTCAACACCACCAGCAACAGCAGCAACCAGCAGTCACCACCTGGATCGCAGAACCTTCACCTGCTCGTGGACCCTCAGCAGCTCCATCTGCCCGTGGACCCACACAGTGTAGCAGCTGCGCTACCAGCAGGGGCGGTGGTGGACGTGGCCTTCCTCGTTGACTCCTACTGTGTCAACGCCACCAGGGGGCTGCGTTTCGTGGCCGATGTGATTGTGGTGAGGGGGTGAGCAGAGGCCCCTCTGTAGGGAGTGCCAACCAGGGGTGAATGGGCCGACTCCCCTCTATTGCCACCAGGGGGCTGCGTGTCATAGCAGAAGTGATTGTAGTGAGGGGGTGAGCAGAGGTCGCTGGGAAACGGACCAGCCCCTCAGAAGGCGCTTGCATGAACTAGAGGTGGATGCGATGCAGGGAAAGCTTGCCTGCCCTCTCCCTCTCGAGTCCCGACCCCCACTGCATGGTCTTTCATTTCCCTCGTGCTGACGCCACTGCAGGTGTGGCTTGTTGGATTGATGCTCACTGGAGGACTTGGAGGTTTGTAGTAGAGGTGATTGTAGCGAGGGTCATGGGGGTCTGGAGGCAAAGCATGGAGGCTAGAAATTTTGGAAAATGATATACCATATTTCTATTGCTCTTGAATACCAGTCAGCTCAGCATTAAATACCACTTCGGGCCTTCAGCTGTTACGTAACGGTTCAACTCGTCCACTGGGATCTTTTGTCCGCCCTGCCTGTCTTCACCGTACCCTTTCACTACAATCCCTACAATCCGTACCCAATCACTGGAATTGCGTAATCCTTTCCCAACAGTGTATCACCCCCTCAAGCTGTGAGCACCTGGGCACACCCACCTTCCCTAGATGGGACAAAATGCCCAGGTCCGTGCGTGGTGCGTGCAGCGATGTGCAGCCTTGAAATAACATTAAAGAGGGATGAATTGTGGGAAACGGAGGAGGGAGAGGGAGGAGGGAGAGGAAGGTTGGAGGTGGCGCATGCAAGGCAAATAGACGAGCTCCGTAAGCTGAGCGGAGGTACTGAGCACTGAGCACTCTCATGCCTACCAGACACGGAGCTCTATCCCACTAAGGTCTCTGCTATGGTATGGCAATGCCAGAAACTGCCACTTATTCTGCTAATCCTTCTTTCCACTGTTGCACCGTGCACTCTTGCATCGCACCTTCAGTGCAGATGTGTCATGGTGCGGTGCCGGATGGACTCGTAGACTAGTTTGAAACTACAAACACCAAATTAAAGTGCATACGGTACATCCAACAGGTGCGATCGGAAACAAAAAAAAAAGGTCTCGGCTTAATGACAAATTCATCACATGCTCTAGAGATTCATGGGTAGTGGTAATGACGGGCACGACGCCACTTCTAAGCAACAGAACAAGCAAACTACTGCTCAGCAGTAAACAACTCGTGACACTCAGAAATCAGCGGGGTGGGGAGGGAGGATGAAACTGTGCAGCAGACATGCAATCAGCAGCATCTGTGAGCACAGATGGCACGCATTGCCATCGTTGAGCGGCGGGAGATACTCGCTGATGCGGAAGCGAGGATGATGAAAGCTGAAAAGTGGCGAAATTGCCTAGAGGCAGGAGGGAGGCGGTGATGAGAGTGGTGCTCTTGGGACTGTGCACCTATTGAATCGGGCGTGCAGAGAGGGAGAGGTGATGACAGGCGGGGCAGGCAGGGCAGGGAAGACAAGGCAGGGCAGGGAAGACAAGGCAGGGCAGGGAAGACAAGGCAGGGCAGGGAAGAGAAGGCAGGGCAGGGAAGACGAAGGAAGATGAAGGCTGAAATGAGGCAATGCATGCTGCCTGAAACAGCGCCCAGTCGAAAAGAGGCACGGTCATGGGTAGGATCAATGGATGCTGCCAGTGGGGGTAAAGGAGAAAAGGTACGGCAGGACAGATGGTAGCCTGGAATATAAACAGGGGAACCAACCTCTGCCCCCACCCACCTGCACCCCACCCACCTGCACCGCAGCCACAACGGCCTCATTCAGCAGCAAGCGAGTCCTCCAGCGGACGCAGCTGCACCAGACCCGCAGGAAGGGAGGGGAGGGAGGTGTCCTGCAGCAGCACCAGCTGCTGCACGTGGGTGAGGCTCTCCGGGAGGTGCTGCAAGGCGCTGCAGCGAATCAACTCCACTTTGCGCAGCCGGGACAAGCAGCTCACGTCCTCAGGTAGTGAAGTGAGCTGTGGTGCATGGATGGTCAATGACGTCAGCTTTGAGAGCTCTAGTATGACGCGTGGCAGCTCTTCCGGCGCCCATGAAAGAAGCTTCAGCTGCCGTAGCTCTGGCAACGCTGCTGCCATGTTTACCGGGAGGCTGCGGATTCCCGGCGCGTCTATCAGCAAGCTGCGCAGGCGAGGAAGAACATTTGAGGGAAGCAGGAATTCCTGACTCATTCCTTGGAGACGCATCTCGAGCTCCTCCAGCTGATTCAGGCGCGCCTGGCTTACTCCTTCAAACTCCTGCTCCAGCTGCTGAATCGGCCCCTGCTGTCCCAGGACCAACAACCTCTCGGCCGCTGCATGCCCACATACAACCCCAACGCACTTCAGCTTCAGCACCCTCAGCTGTGACAGCTTGGAAATATCCACAACAAGGGAAGAGCCTTCCCTGAAGGGCCCCAAGCAGAGAGTCTCAAGAGAAGGGGGCAGACCAGCAGGGGCTTCACTCATCTGCCGACATCCCGTCAGCTCCAGCCGCTTCAGCCCCACGAGCGCATCCAGCCCAAAGGGTACTTCCGAGAGTGAGTTGCAGTTTCTGACCTCCAGGGTGTAAAGTGCAGTAAGCCGTGTTAGAGAGCCAGGAAGCTGGCTGACTGCAAGCTGAGCGATCTTCAGCTCCTGTAGACTGCTCAGCTCCCCCAAGGCGCTCGGCTGGCCAGCATTTGTTCAGGTCAAGGCTTGTGAGGGAGGAGAGGGTGGTGAAGGAAGCCGGAAGCCGGCAGCCATGCAACCTGAGAGCCTCCAAGCTGTCAAGGCCCCCAACATTCTCTGGCAAGGCAAGACCCTGATTCGATTCTGAGAAGCAGAGCACCTTGAGAGCCGTGAGACACAAGGCATCTGCTGGCACCTGCCAAAACTCCCTGCACTCAAATATGAAAAGTGCTTCCAGAGTCGTAAGATGAGAGAATGAAGGCGGGAGTGCGGTTAAAGGCAGATGCTCCAGCACCAGGAGTTTTAAAGCGGGCAGGTGATCGAAGCTGCTGGGTAAGGTATGAAATTCGTAACAACCTGAGATGATGAGAGTTTCCAGGCTCAAAAGAGTGACGGTTTCAGGCAGGTGAGTGAAATCACCGCATTCGCGAACCGTCAGCTTGCGAAGGCACGGCATAAATTCTCCGATGCAGTCTGGAAGGGTTTCTAACCCATTGCAGCTGGTGATGAGCAGCTCCTCTAGCCCCGCGAACTGCCATGCTGATGAGAAGACCATGGCGTCCTCATAAGGACAGTTCGTTAAGAACTCGAGAGATTTAATGCACGACGGCAGCGGCACGCTTGCGGCACACGTCGGCTGATGGTTAGAGCGCGGGGTGAAGGTGGAAAGATGGGCCAATCGCGGGAGGTGGAGGAGTTTGGACAAGTGCTGACGGGTGATGGGGACTGTGATGTACGCAGTGGTGAGCGCAGTGAGGTTTTCGAAACCTGGACTCTCCAACACTGAAGCGCTATTGACAACAAGGCAGTCCAGATGTCTGAGCTGGAAGACTGAGTCCGGTAACTTTGTTCCTCTTGGGAGGCAGAAGAGGGTAAGCTGCTTCAAGTCCGGGATCTTCTGGATGAACAAATCCAATCCCTCCGTACTTATACGATTCCTCTCCCTCCTGCGATAATGGTAGTACACAGGAAGTCCGTCGCCCTCGTTACACGGTAGTGCAAAGGTCCTCCCCACGTGGAGGCGAGTCAGCTTCGGGCACGAATCAGCGAGGTGAGCGAGGAAGGCGTCGCCGATGCTGTTGTCGCTGAGATGCAGATGAGTGAGGTTCGGGAAGCACGCGACGGCAGCTGAGACATCTTCGCAAGATACCGCGAGGCCTTCTTTAACGAGTAGCGTGGTCACGTGAAGCTTCATCACGCGGCGCCAACGACTGCAGACAGACGCCGCGATGAAGAGATCTTGAGTCACGTCTGAGTCTGGAGGAGAAGCTGGCACTGGCGTCTTGACTATCACATTTGTTTGATTTGAATACTCATCGGAAAGCGACCAATAAATAGAACTGGATGTCCAGATGCTGTCAACGTAGGATTCGCAGGAAACGGACCGTTTCAAGAAGGAGCGCCTGATGACCATAAGGAGAATATCGTCTGGCAGACTATTAATGCTCGTCGGAGTCTCCATATTGGATGCCAAAATGAGAAAACGTGCTTACAAGGAACGACAAGTAGCGTAAAATAGAATTGGAGGATTAGGAGGTGAATTTGGAGTACCTGTAGTACAAGGCTCTTTGAGCCATCCCTGGATTTTGCGTGCAGGCATTTCCTCCGTCCAAGGTGGCCACGGCAGGCTCAAAACCGTTTCGCACCGTGATGAAACGAATTTGACCTTAGAAAACATACTTGATGTGCGGCCTTACATCTACTGTGTCAAATTCCAGGGGAGCGGAGCGAATCCGTCCGCAGAAGCAGTGCTATACAGTAGCAAGGCGCGGGGAGGGCAAGCTTGTTCTCCGGGACTGGGGGCAAGGCTGCAATGTGAGTTGCAAGGCTGCACTGCACAACGCAGGTAACGAGCTCACCGTTCGTCATGCTCGTTGCTCCCCTTCCGCAACTGTCGCGACGCAATGCAAATCTTTCCCTTCCCTACTCGTTATTCCCCGTGCGTCCCTCCTTCCTTTCACCTCCATGGTTTTGGGAAAGCAATGCTTTTCGGCCCCTCCCACATTCAATGATTGAATGCCTTTCTAGACTTACAGTTTCGTGCTTTTTGAAACTCAAGAGACTGCAGGTCCATATTCGTGCTCTTGCCTTTCGCGTCCCAGGCCCGGCGCTCAAGCCGCCTGTTCCTATAATAAGGCGGAGTTTCAAATTTTGCAAAATTGCCTCATCCTTCCTAACTTGGTTGGGTGTGACCTAATAGATACCGACCCAGTTCGCCAACGGTCGAAACAACTCTCGCGACGCGAAATTAATGTCATAGCGAGGAAGATAGCAGTGACGATTTCGCACACAGAACTGTATGCATTCCAGATCTGGTTCGCCAAGTTTCGTCCTTCCTGTTCACGAATCACTAGGTGCATTTAAGAACCACATCGCTCCTGTTGTCGTATCAGTGGAGTTCCAGCTGATAATGAGCGCGGCTATGGCTGACTGGCAGCATCGCTGAGACCTGGCTGATTGGTTGAAAGAGACTGCACTAAAACCGACCTCCTTTATGAGCGAAATGTAAACCTGAGGAGTTCAAGCCTGGCTTCAGCGTGAAGAGAGCGACTGGTCAGGCAGAACAGAATCCCGGTTTCAGGAGGCGGATCGTGCGAGTAAGAGCGGATGATGATGGGTTCTGCTACTAGTAGTAGTGGCGGCGGCTCGGCGATCGAGAATGAAGCCGCAGTTCGGTGAAATTTAAACAGATACGCAACGTTGACTCGATCAGCTCCCTTGTGGAGCAAGCACAACAGGAGAGGGATGAGGCGAAAGAGAAGGAGAGGGAGAAGGAGCGGCGGAGGCAGCACTGGCATTGCGGCCGGCAGCGACACCATGAAGTAGCGGATTCTGCGAGTAAAGGCGGAGGGTGGATCTTCTGCTACTAATGGCGCCTCGGCGACCGAGAGTGAAGTTGCAGGTCCCAAGAAATCTGATAACTTACGAGATGTTGGGAGGCAACAAGACGGGCGGGAAACCGCCATGCAGCACAAGCGGTGCTAGGGGCGGCGGGGAGAGCGGGAAGGGCGGGCGAGGGGGCGGTGAGGGGGGGGCTGCTGATGGGGCTGGCGGAGGCCTTAAAGGATTCGTTGGGGTTTACCGATGGGTGGCGGGGGGCAATGGAATAGCTGCAGATCGCCAAGGTGAGAGTGGGTGCAGGGCGGGGAAGATGCGTGATGGAATCGGACAGCGGATACATCTCGAGTCAAACTTCGGCGATGGTGGGAACCGGGCAGTTGAATCTGGCTGGATATGGCCAAGGTGGGAGTTTTTGAGAGTCGGTGATCAGTCACTGAGGAGCTACTGTGAGTGGGTGTTGGATGGCTGTGATAGTGAGTGGAGGGAGCTGATGGGCAGGCCAGGTGTGTTGCAACCGAGGTGAGATTCGTTCCCCCACCCCCCCTCTAATTACTCCCACAGCACGTTACTCGCAGAGGCACTACCCCTTCCTCTCTTCTTTCCCATTCCCCTTAACCTCTTTCCACCTTTCCCCCTTTTCTTCCCCCATCTCCCCACGTGCTCCCTTACACGGACTCACAGGCTCAAGCGCCCACAGCACAATCTCCCACATCCTTCCTCCCCACATTTGTCTCATGAACTCACTGCTCCCCTCCTTTCCCCCCATCCCCTTCCTAGCTCCGCACCTGCGTCTCCAGTACCAACTTCCAACCCACGGGTTCGCTCCCAAGTGGCACCGTCCCCCACACTCCTCTCATAAACCACTGCTGCTTTTCCTCCTTTTCCTCCCCGTCCCGTCTCCTCCCAGCACGGCACCTGCTTCTCCTACACCCGCGTCTGCCCCACAGACTTGCGCGCACAGAAAAGCCACCCACGTCTGCCCCACTGCATGGGCTCGCCCCCACAGCGCAGCCGCACTGCCCACCAACCCTCTCCCTTCCCTTACCCTCACTGCTCACCAAACAAGGGCCAAGGCTTTATCCCCTCCCGTTCCATACCCTCTCCCTCTTCCCCCCCACTTCCCCACCCCTCCCAGCTCTAAACCTGCTTCTCCTACACCGATTCTTGGCCCACAAATGCCTTCCCTTACAGTGGCCGCACTGCTCACCCTCTCCCCCTCCCCTTCGCATCTCCTCCAACCCTTTCCCCGTCTTATCACCAGCTCCGCACGTGTTTCTCACATATTCACTTCTGCCCCTATGCTACGACAGAGAAGGAGAGATCTGGTACAGTAGAGAGCCATGGTGCGTCCGCCCACTGTGCCTTGCACTGCGTTGAGTAACGAGTCAAGGGAGAGCGACGCTGGGTGTGAGGAAGAATGGAGCAGAGAGGGGAAGGGAGAAGCAGGGGAAGATGAAGGGGTGTGATTCAGTAGAGAGCCATGGTGCGACCGTCCACAGTGTGGCTTGCACTGCATAGCCGACACGAGAGCTCGTACCGTTCATAAAGTTCTTGAAGCTCTCAAAGATCTAAAAGCATCGTAAGGATTTCAAAGCCCATAAAGATTCTTACAGCTCATAACTCCCATGAAGCTCTACAAGCCCATGAAGCACACGCGGCTCATATGGGTTCTATGAGCTGTAGGGATCGTATGCAAGCCATGTGATAAGGCTCATATGGGTTGTATGAGCTGTAGGGATCGTATGCAAGCCATGTGATAAGGCTCAATCATCATATGACTCATTCATGTTGAAGCAACAACCAAGTGGAGTCAAGGGAGTGGGATGCGCTACCTGAGTATGGGTGTCGAACGGAAGTTTCATGGTTCTTTCCGGCATGGAGCAGGGCGGCAGTGATGATGGAAGCCCCTGGGTCGATGCTCTCTCGCACAAAGTCTACTATGGTCTGGTGGAGGGGGGTGAAGAGTGGTGGGGGCGGATGAAGAGGGTTGAAGAGTGGCGGCGATGGTTGAAGAGGGTGAAGAGTGCCACTACGGTGGCGGTACAATGCTCCTCCCCAACATCCCCTCACCTTTCCCCTGTCGTACCACCAGCTCTGCACTGCACCTGCCTCTCCTAGGGATTTTCCACGGATTCCTGCCCTCGGAAGGGGTGCACTGCCCACCCAGGCGCTGTACCTTATTCTCCCCTTCCCGCCTCCCTCAACCCTTCCCCCATCTTCCCACCATCTCTGCTCCGCACCTGCTTCTCCTGCACCGATTTTTGCCCTATGAATTTCTGCCCCTGCAATGTGGCCGCACAGTCTGTTAGGAACCTGCTGGGGCCGTGCTCTGTCCCCAAGTCCTAGATTGGTGCCTCGATTAGCGTGACGGGAAACCTGCGGCTGTGCGCCCCTTGCAGGTTGCAGGTGGCAGCATGGGCGCACTGTTTACATCACATCACAGGAAAACCTGCGCGCTGCTGAGTGCACTCCTTGCCAAGGCTACAACGCACCTTCCCTTCCCTTCCCTTCCCCCCTCCACCCACGTACCACCAGCCCCACACCTGCTTCTCTTGCATCGACTTCTGGCCCACCGACTTCGCGCCCCCACCCATGACACTGTCTACCACATCCCTCTCATAAGCCATTAGAACTGATTAGATTACCCGCTTCCCCCTGTCCCTTTTCCCCCTCCCTCTCCCTCCCCCACATCCCCCCTTCCCCCCTCCTCCCCGCAGCTTTGCACCTACTTCTCCCACACCGACTTGTGCTCCACCGACTCCCACGCCTGCTACAGTGCGAGCGCACTGTTCACAGCAGCACGGTACAGCCTGCTGACGTGGCAGAGGGTTCGCGATGGTATACAGGCGAGGCTGGGCGGGGCTGGGCTGATGGGCGCTCTGTGGTGGTTTTGAGGGCGGGCGAGCAGGAGGAGGAGATGGGTTCTGAGTGAGTGAGGGGTAGTGAGCTGCTCTCAGGTCACTCTCAGGTCACTATCTCTTAGGTTGCTCTCAGGTGACATCTGAGTTTAATGAGGTGTGTTTCAGGCTCGTGAAAAGGCTGGAGGTTGATATGCGAGAGGCTGACTGCCTAGCAGTGGTGTTGTCATTTCAAGGTGCTCAATACTGCGCGTGTTGCCCTGCCGTGCTGTTGACTAAGGTGGCATCGCTTCCTCTGGCCCCTCCTAGGCTGTCCCACCTGCACCTCCCACTGGCAACTCCTCCCCTTATCACCCACACGTTTTGAAACAATAATGCTTTCACATCGCCACTTCCTCCCGCTCACCCCATCACTCACCGCCTCTCTCTCACCCACCTCTCTGAACTCTTCCTCTGACCCGTCTTGGGATGTCTCACTGGCCTCTACTACTGCCTGCCCCCAAGTACTACTACTACTACTACTACTGGCCTCTTCTTCTTATCACGCTCCAAGTGTGCATAGCAACGGTCACTCTATTATTGTCTCCCCTTCCCATTCCCCATTCCCATCCCCTTCCCTATCCGCTCCCCCATCCTCTCCCCTAATTTCATCCCCTTCAACATCGCCTTCCCATCATCATCCTTTTCCCCCTGCCCAGACGTGGGCATGGTTCAACCAGTGACCTTCATCACTCGCCAGTCTCATTGCTCCTTTTTACTCCTTTGTTCCCCTCTGCCTTCCCTTCTCCTCACCCCCTCCCCATTCAGGTGTGCATGGTGCAGCCAGCAACCTCCAACTCCCACCGTCTCTCCCTCGCCATTATCACCGCCCTCTCTCTTTCTCTCCTCGTTTGCCTCGCCACAATCTCTACTGTCAATCTTCACCCGTAAGAGTTGGAGAATCGCCATGTCACGCCCTCCCGCTGCCACTCATTCTTGTGGCCTAGTGTGGTAGTGGGTGAAGTGAGTCCGTTCCCTGCTCCTTCCTCTCCCGCTCGTCCTTCTCCCACCCTCCCCCCTCCCATGCACTTCCACTCCACTCTCCCCTTCACTCTCATTCTCGCGGCTGTTGTGGGAATGGGTGAGTTAAGTGCCCCTCCTCTGCTTGCTGCTATCGTGGGAGTGGGTGGGGTCATTGCCTCCTTTCCATTAAAACACCCTCAGCTGTTATATCGCATCATGGCAGGGTGCCCATGCTCGTTCATGCTCTTTCATCATGGCAGGGTGCTGTTTAAATTTGGAAAGATGGCACTTCTCCCATCTCCACCTTGATTGCCCATGCTCTCATTCTCCCTCTCTCCCTTGCATCCCCCCACCACCTAAACCTACCCATACCGTGGGGTTGGGTGGGGTGGTGGGCGGCACACCACCCCACCCCGCCCACCCCCATCCCCCTCCCACACCACCTCACCCCACCCTCACCTTCCCAGCTCTTCTGGCGGATCACTACAGTTGCACGTGTAACTTCCCCTTATAAGTGATCACCTCTCCACTCTTCCTCTGCAAGCATCTTTGTTGCTTCTCCTCTCCTCCATCTCCCCCCCTACCCTCCAGCGCCAAGGTGTGCATCTCTCCTCATTTCCATCTTCTCCACTCCATCATCCCCCCCGCCACGCCCCCCATCACCCCCCAGCTCTTCCAGCGGATTTCGGGGGGGATGATATGAGGTGAACCTCTTCTCTTCCCGCCCTACCTCCTCCCCAGCCTTCTGGGTTGCCACGGCACTGCCACTCATTTTGAATCCCTCCTGTGACATGTCCCTCCTGCCACTCGTTTTGGATCCCTCCTGTGACATGTCCCTCCTGCCACTCGTTTAGGTGGTGAGAACAAGGCAGTGCGGTGGGGGGTAAGGAAGTGATATGAAGGATTATGCAGTGTGTGTGAAGGAGGGGAGGAAAAGTTGGGGAAGTCCGTGCCTTCTGCACTACCCTCACACACACTCTGACCGCAAAATCAATGAGAGCGAGTGCCCTCTATTTCCCACGCTACCATCTCTTAGAAACAAAACACAGCGGAATGAGTTCGATTGATTGGGTTGGGGTACAAATGCCTAACCCTAACTGTTTGTACCCCATATAGCATGACCCACTAGAGGCTATAACATTTGACACAACCCCATAGCCTAAGTGGGGAATGCCAAGCAACAAGAAACGCAACCTAAGGTCACAAGACCAGTCACAAGCAAGAGAGAAAACAAAGCTCAGGGTGGATCACAACGTCACCACACAGTCTGAGCACAAACAAAGGGCCACAAGGCCAGTTCAAGAGTGTACAAGCTAATAAATATGGTACACACAAACAAGAGGCAACAACTCACTACTGCAATCAACTAGACCCAGTCTCAACGAGGCCTAACTGCAGACAAAACCGACGGTGGTCACAAGGCTGAAGGGCCTTGGTGAAGATGTCTGCAGTGTTGGCCTCGGAGGCCACGAAGTCCAGACGAGCCTGTCCGCGTCTCTGCAACTCTCGAAGGAGGAAGTACCTGACGTCGATGTGCTTCACTCTGCTCTCCAGTCGAGGCTCACGACACAGGAGAATCATCGCCTTGTTGTCAGCAAACAAGGTCGGTGCAGAGTTCGGCCGCTCACCAAGGTCAGTGAGCAAGAAGGTCAACCAGCGTAGCTCCTGAGCAGCAAGGGCTCCAGCGTAGATCTCGGCCTCTGCAGTAGAAGTCGCAACAAAGGAGGACCGAGTGGACCTCCACGAAACAGCTCCAGAGCCTAGGCTGAAACAGTAACCCTGCGTAAACCTCTGAGTCTCAACGTCGTCGGCGTAGGAGGAGTCGCAGTGACCAGTGAGTACAACTGGCTGTGTCCCTCCAAGTACAAGCCCCATGTCTGATGTCGCACCGAGGTACTTCGCCACCCTCTTAGCCGCCGTCCAGTGAACAGGACGGTGTCTCCCAGTCGGAACAAAGCGAGAAAGGATGCTAAGAGGGAAGGTGAGGTCCGGGCGAGTACACGTCATCAGGTACATGAGGCAGCCCACCAGCTCTGCGTAAGGACCACTGGGCTCGAACGGCTCGTCAGGAAAAGGCCCAGTGAGTCTGTGGTCTACAGCAAGAGGGGTGGGTGTAGGAGAAGAGTGCTGAAGCCCGAACCGCTGAAGGACCTACTGCACCATGTGTGACTGAGTCAGAGTGATGGTGCGAGCGACTCTGTCCCTGGAGATCTGCAGGCCAAGGTAGTGGCGCAGTTCCCCAAGGTCAGTGCAGGTGTGTCTCTTCTGCAGTTCGGACTTCACCTCCGCCAGTGCAACTGTGTCGGCTGTGGCAAAAACCAGGTCGTCGACGTAGACAAGAACGAAGAAAGGTGTGCGCCCACGGCGAACAAACAGCGACGGGTCGGCGGAAGAAGGCTCAAACCCGAGGTCGGACAGAGTAGAGCGGAGAGTGTCGTGCCACTCACGGGGTGCCTGGCGGAGACCGTAGACCGGTCGTCTGAGGCTCCACTGGGTCCCAGGCGGGAAGGTGCCAGTGAAGCCCGGAAGACGACACAGCCAGATCTCCTCGTGTAGGCTGCCTTGGAGGAAGGCAGTGGAGAAGTCAAGATAGTGTAGCTCGTAGTCTCTCTACGCTGCTACGTGCAGTAACACCCGAAGAGAGGTCATCTTCGGGGTGGGCGCGAAGGTCTGAAAGAAGTCAACTCCCTCACGCTGACTGAACCCTCTAGCCACGTAGCGTGCTTTGAAGACCGGGGGAGATCCCGGCGGCCACTTCACCTTGAAGATCCACATGCCGTCAACTATGTTCGCCCCTGGGAGGGGAACCTCGTCAACGTAAGTGCCTGTGGACCTGTAGGAGGCCATCTCTGCGTCCATGGCAGCTCTCCACTGAGAGGCCCAAGGCCCTGACACTGCCTCAGCGTAAGTGCGAGGAGTAGGTATGTCAGGAGCGTCGGGGTCTCCCTCAGGAGCGAAAAGCATGGCACAGAGATGAGGCGAAGCAGCTGCCAGGAACTCTAGCTCAAACTGTCTGTCCTCTAGGACGTCACAGCCAAAGGCAGACTCACCCCCGGCGGACAGAGGACGGACAGGAGGAGCGGCTACAACACGAGTGGCGTAGTCAAGGCGACGCGTAGCAGTAAAGTCAGTGACAGCGGCAGTGAGGACCGCGACGGAGGAAGGAGAGGCACGAAGGTCTATAACAAGAGAGGCGCGAACGCGAGAGAGAGTGGGGCGGTACGTGCGGTAGTAGTCAGTGACCGGAGTGGACAGGGAGGCAGTGAGGGACGACTCAGGATGACGAGGAAGAATAGACGGAGGAGGACGAGGAGGACTAGGACGAAACAACACGGTACGGAGGTCAGTGACAGGTGACGAGGGATGAGCACGAGGGGGACGAGAGGTCCAAGTGTGGGCGAGAGGAGAGGGAGATGGAGGAGACTGAGAACGAGGGAACACAGCCGGAGCGGAGTCCGGAGGAGGAAACGTAGGACCGAACACAGGAGGAGAGGAGGGGAGACCAAGGGCCCGAAGGCCAGAAACAGGGGCCGGAGGCTGCTCCGGCTGCTGCTGCTGCTGCTGCTGCTGCTCCCACTGCAACTCCAACCTCTCACGCTCCACCCGCTGCTAAACCTCCGACCTCTCACGCTCCAAACGCTGCTGCTCCTCACGCTCTAGACGAAGAAGGGCCTGGTAACGAGTCGGGTAGGGGTGAGGAGGAGTGGTGTCAGGAGACGCAGCAGAAGAACCGGCTCCGTCCTCGACAGTACCCGGCTGAGCACCCCCAGAACGAGAACCTCCCGCGGCAGCACGACCAGCACCTGTAGGAGGTGTACCCGCACCCCCAGTCGTGGTGCCTCCAGTGGCACCAGCACCCGCCCCAGACTCTCCAGCTCCAGAAACACCACCAGCTCCAGCACCACCACCAGCTCCAGTACCCCCGAAACGGGCAGCTGCGGCAGGTGCACGCTCAGCGCTAACGCCAACACCCCCAGAACTGGCTGCTCCTGCAGGTGCACGAACAGCTCCAACGCCAGCACCCCCAGAGCGAGCACCGCCAGAGCCCTCACCTCGAGCACCAACACCCTCAGAGGCCGCAGTGGCCGGTAAAGGAAGCGCTGACGACTGCTGCGGAGGCGATGAGGACGACTGTGGGGAAGGAGGAGAGACCTGGGGGGGTACCGAGGGGGGGGGAGTAGCGTGGGACATACCAGACGGAGCGGGAACAGGGGGGGGTACCGGAGGAGTAGGGGCGGGAGGAGGAGGAGCTGGAGCCAGGAAGAGGGGAGGGGGGGGAACCGGGAGACCTCGACAGGGGTACCGGACGTAGTAGGGGACAGACTCGTCGAAGCGGACGTCACGGGAGTCAAAGAACCGGTGGGA